GCGAGTCGTCTATTGGCCGAACCATCACTTATGGCTATCAGTTGTTTGAATCTCTCCTAAATTAACTAAAATCATGAAAATCTTACTCTCAACATTCACATTTGAAATTAAAGCCATTGGATCCGGTCATAAACGTTCTAATAATTTTGCCGAGGTAACCAGCGGACATCCAGTGGCCTTGGAGAGGGGCTGTTGCCGCTTGGGTACCCCACGAGAATTGTTAAAACGCTTCACAGATCTTTCGATTTTGCTCCAGTCAGTTCTCTAATGCGTTCGACGTGAGAAATTCTAAAAACCTCATCAAACCAGTTATTAAAAATTATTCTTTACAATCACTCGGAACCATCGATCGACCCGACAGAAGTGCGGAGAAATAATAATTAATCCAACCCGAAATCCAATATCAACGACCATTTGGCTTCATCCATTGACATCGTCATCGAGGGCCTGAACTCTTCCTTAGATCGCAGCATCCAGCATTTAACATCTCACATCCAGTCGAGAGGAAGAGAAACCAGAGGCGAGGAAAAATTTATTCGAATTCAATCTCCAGCCGAGAAATCGTAAGTAAATTGAAAATAACCGTCATAACCCGGAGATCGATTGATCCTCCAAATCCTGAATCGAAAAATGAAGAGAGCGCGGACGATAAAACGAGAAGTTCAAACCCAACCCAGTAACGGCAAGTCAAGCGACGGTCGACTACCGCTCGGCGGCTATTGCTTTAAGACGGCTTCCCTAAATTCTCGTCAAATTTGCCTCAAACTTCATCAGTAATTTCCCTACGATCTGTAAAAAATAAATTTATTATTTTTCATGGAAATTCGGGGGAATACGTAACATTATTTTCTCTATCCCGGAGGTCGGTTGATACTCCAAAAATCAGAGTTCTTTCGAAACGAAATTGTTCGGTTCTCGCGAAAAGCTCGGAAAGTGCGATAGTGCGCGTGCGAATTGTGTTAACCTAGTTTCGGCAAGCTTAGTGATTTTCGGCTACCGCTCGACGAATTTCGCTTACCTTAGGCTTCCCTAAAAATGAAAAATTCGCAACATGATAGTGCACTTTAATGAATCAAAAAAAGAAACATTCCATCCGTTGGAAAATCAAATTCTAAATTCTTTTATGGTCCGATTTAGTGAGAATTCGTAACATTAGTCGAATACCTCAGAGTATTTACTGACGAATTTATGGATTGGGATGATCTTCTCCCATATGCAATGCTATCGTACAATACCACTGTGCATAGTTCTACCAATTTCACACCGTTTGAACTCTTATATGGCAAAAGAGCCAGAATGCCAACTAATATCCATGAAGAACAAGAAATTGACAATTACAACGACTTCATGGTAGATCTAATTACCAAATTAGATAAAATACACCGAATAGCCTTTAATAACTTGAAGAAATCTAAGTTACATTCCAAAGAGTTTTACGATCGACACTAAAATCCCCTTCAGCTACAGATAGGAAAATTTGCATTTGTGCAGAAGGAGCCACAAACTAGTAAACTAGATCAAAAGTACACTGGACCATATGAAATAGTCGATATCATTGAAAAGGGGAATGTCTATCTAGAAACCGAAGAAGGTCGCAGATTCATGAAACACCCAAATAAGCTAAAACTGTGTCAAGAAGAATGAAGTAACAAAAGCCAGTGCTGCCAATCTTGACTGATGATAAAATAAATCTAACGAAACATGTTCCACTCTACAGGAAATAATGCATAGAATATCTCCGCCAAAAGACAGAATTCCAGTCTACGTTGATGGTTCATGTTCCTACAATGGAACCGACAAAGCTGTCGCTGGAATCGGAGTATGGTTTGCGGACAATCACCCATTAAATACCTATAAGACTATTCGAGGAATTCGAGCAACAAATATTACTGCAGAAGCCCTTGCTGCCATTGAAGCGTGCAAAATATGTCTAAGACATGAAATCACAGCTATAAAAATCATCACGGATTCAAAGTATCTGATAAGCTGTATGACAGAATATATCGGAAAATGGAAAATCAATGGATGGCTAAATGCAAAATCAAAACCTGTAGTCAATCAAATGTTATTACAACAACTAGACAAGCTCTTACAACAAATGAATGTAAGATTCGAATACACACCGGGTCACCAAGGAGTTTATGGGAACGAAAGAGCAGATGAACTGTTACGAATTCTCACTAAATCGGACCATAAAAGAATTTAGAATTTGATTTTCCGACGGATGGAATGTTTCTTTTTCTGATTCATTAAAGTGCACTATCATGTTGCGAATTTTTCATTTTTAGGGAAGCCTAAGGTAAGCGAAATTCGTCGAGCGGTAGCCGAAAATCACTAAGCTTGCCGAAACTAGGTTAACACAATTCGCACGCGCACTATCGCACTTTCCGAGGTTTTCGCGAGAACCGAACAATTTAGTTTCGAAAGAACTCTGATTTTTGGAGTATCAACCGACCTCCGGGATAGAGAAAATAATGGTTGTAATCACTAGACTCACCTCTAAATTTTTCCTGGCCGTTCTAGTGGCGACTCGACTATGGTACAGCGGATCAGTTGTTACACTAGAGTGATGGGCGATGTGGATCGTCGGAAAATTCAGCCTATTCTTTGACAGGCTGGATAAAGTTTTTCGGTGGACACACACACACGTTCAGTTTGTTTTTCCTTTTATTGCTTAAAACTTCAGATCCAGTGTATTCACTTCAAGTTGCTAAATAATATATTCAAATATTAATACGTTGTTCACGTGAAGTTGTTCATTTATTTATCTGATGGTTTTAGAATTTAGGCGTTGGGTGCATCGTCAAAGACCCGGGCGGTAATTTTTTTGGGAAAGATAATTTCTATTGGAATGAGGAATGGGTGGAATAATCAAATCGAAAATTGAGTGAAATGTCAACCGCAAAATCTCAAGTCCAATAAACCATCCGTAAGGGACGATCAATTGACCCACGAGAAAACGGAGTTGACAGGAATCAGCCGCAGAATCCTGAGGTCGACAGACCGTCCCCAAAGGGCCAGTTAGTTTTCCTCGAAAATAGCGGGTTTGATAGTTAACCTAGAAGAACGGGGGTTGCCTCACCAGAATAGCATCGGGTAATCCCGACGTCAGTCCAGCCAGTCAGCCACGACTCTCCCTAGTCAACTTGTATCAGCCGCAGGCTCGCGGAATTGATCCACAAACCAGCGGGGTTGATAGGATGGGAATTAATTTTCAAACGTGAGAAGGGCTGTCACTTAGGAGAAACTAATGGGAACAATTCAATTAAAATTTCATTTCAAATTCGCGACCGAGCCCGCAATCAGTACAATGCACCGTCGAAATCGGAACGAAATTATGGATTTAAGCGAAAAATATTTTTAGTCTTGAATTGTGGACTGAAAATCTTCCCTATAGAATTTAAAAATGAATTTAATTTGGAAATAGGTTACATGAAAATTTTCAATCATAGAAAAAAAATGTTAATTTCCGAAAATTTATAAAGTCCAAGAGGACAGAGCACGAAAAATTTCAAAGTCCAAGAGGACACGGAACACAAAAAAATTCACAGTCCACAATTCTCGATTTTTTTCCAAGTCCAAACTGGTTACTTTTAATTTAATTCACGGAGCTCTTCTGAGCTTATGACCGGCGATTCCGAGCGTTGACGTTGAACTGACTGTTTTTCTGGCATCGGGAGGTACATAGACTGAACAGTCGTAGCGCACGGAGTGTCTCCGGCGCGCATGGGTGGGAGTACTGCGTTGAACGTTAGACTTGCTGCCTCATAGTGGGGATCACGCGTCGAGTATACCCCTATATATTAAGTATGGCACATAGCTAATACTGTGGCACCCATTATGTCTCTACAAATTCGAATTTGAACATTTTACGTATTGTAAAATTAATTACGCCATTTTTCATAATAAAAAAATTGGTTTTCGAACAATTTTATGTTTGATTGTCTCTATGGCTTAAATGTTTCCTTACTGTATCCTTGTGGTACTACAATTGTTCATTTTTGTGTATTGATTTTAGATTTTGCGTTTTTTGCAAAATTCATTTTTGAGTCCATTTCTATGGTAGTAACATGATTCCGATGATAAAACCTTTTTTTTCGATTTTTTATAACATTTCAATTGTTAATAACAATGTTAATTGTTAACTTAGGCGAATGCCTCCTAGCGTGTCTGAAAGAACTTGATTTATCATAGTTTGACACAAAATTTCAGATTTTTATCTCTGCAATCTTTGGAGATATTTGCAATTAACCATTTGACCTTGAAGATGTGTCTATTAGCTTCTGACGCCATGTTTGCTGTTGTTAAAAATCAAAATTACGGCTGGTTGTATCGAGAATTTGGTCAACTATCTTTTGGTGTTTTTTGTTTTTGAATGTGCATGTTTGTTCACAAGTTATTAGCCATTAACTGTTAGAAGTATTTAATAACCTGACAGTTGACAATTTTTTATTTCAACTTTTTCCATTTTTTTCTCCATAATCCTGTCTTCTGCATCGAACTCGATTTATTTCATATTTTTCGTGAATTTTTCATCGTAATTTTATCGACATGTTAATAGACAGCAATGTTGTCTTTTGACTTTTCAAATTTTTTCTGTGATAACTTTGTAGTTCTTGATTTATAGAACATTTTTGTCCTTAAATTTTTTTCGATATTTTCCATAGGAAAGTGTGCAAAAATTCCGAAAGTTTGATAAATCACACGGATATACAGTTTGAGTGAGTCTGTAAGTTTTTAACAAATTTGTATCCTTTTTGTTTATGGATACTAAGAAACATTTCTAATTGTTCTGGATTATGAATATCTAAATGTCTGTTTTATAATTTTTGCATATTTGTTTCGATATTTTTACACCTATTGTGTATAACAATTGGATTTGTTTATTGATTTTTCGATGGTTTTACTGGTTGGTTTTATAGACCTCATTTTATAGAACAACTTTCGTCTTAAGAATTTTTCTTCATCTCTATTACAGGTGGCGCTACAACTTTCTAAAGTTTCCAGGCACACGTATATAGACAAGATTAAGTGTGTGAGTGAACAACTTCAAAAATTTATATCTTCTGTGCTTACAGAGATTAAGGAACAGTTCTTGATGCTCATGATTAAGAGTTCGAAGAACTTTATTTAATGATTTTTCCATATTTTTCCAATGATTTTTTTATGTAATTTGTTAATAACAATTAATATTGTTCATAAATTTTGCAACTTTTCATAATGGATCTTGTTGTCCGGAATTTATAGAATATCTTTTGTGTTAAGTATTTTTCTCAATTGATTATACAGATGGTGCTATTAATTTATCAAATTTTGACAGGTACATGGACATACATGTTTGAGTGTGTCAGTGCCCAATTGTAAAAAATCATATCTTTTTTGTTTATAGAGATAGAGATTAAGAAATGATATTTGGTGGATACATTTATCATTATGAACTCTTAATATTCAACTTACTTTGAGAATTTCCCAAGCGTATTTTCCGATTGTTTTATGGACAATTATTAGTTTTATTTCACTTTTTTCCTCAAATGACGTCGGAATTCCAATTTTTTAGATTATTCTCTGAGTTTTCACGCCTTTGATATTCAAAATTATTTACTTTTAAATTTATTGAGATCATTTTTATTTAATAACTTTCAAGTTTTTTCTTTAACTTGGCTAGAAATTTTCTAATAATTTCTGCGATATTTATATTGTCTGAAATTTGAACACTTTAGCCATTTTGCAGAATATTTCCAGATTTCAAAAATTTTCCTATTCCAAAGGTAACATTACTCGTTCTCGCGGCTCCTCACCTGCTCCAACACTGTTACTGAGTTTATCTTCGTCATTGATCAGCGGGCTCCTTATCGGTCCCAATTAGAAAATTGAAAATATTTTGTGTATGTGCAATGACTATCAATATTTCAATAAACAATATTGAAGTGAGAAATACTGTCTCGTTCTTCATCCTAGTTTCATTCTTTTGATCGTTCATTTCGTTTTCTGACTCAAATGTAAATTTCTGATATATTGATTTTGTACAAGATAATTTTGTTTTCATTAGATTATTTTCAGAGATTGTTCGTTAAATTTATCAAGGGCTTGCAACTCGTAAAATATTGATTTCATAAAATAAGAAAGTCTAGTTGGTTTTTTTCTATGTATTTGTTGAGTGAATGAATTTTCAAAATATTTATGAGAACGTACTTGTCTTCTGATGATTATTCCTGTCGAATCATACAAAATTTATTATTTGAGAAATTTTCTTTGTTCGGAAAATATGATTGGTTTTTTGGAAAAGACGTATATGAATACGTAACATGACGATGGTTGGAGAAGTTGTTTTTGTCTGCAAAACGACAAAAACAACTTGAAAAGTATTTGCTTGTTTTTTTTTTAAATTGTAGAACGAGAGAAAAGAAAAAAAAATTTCATTTTTTTCGGCTTTTGATCACTGACACAAAATACATCAAACACATATGAATTTTTGTGTTCTATTTCCCTGTTGTTTATTATGTACCATATATTTTATCAAACTCTTTAGTAGACGGATTTATAATACGTCACAGAACTTGCAAAATTGGGCTCAAAAATCTATTCAGAGACCGGGACTGCCAGTTACAAATAATTTCAACTAATCTCAAATATTATCCTTACAGGCATCCTGATCCCAGTAAAATGAGGAATTTCAGTATTTGGATACAACTTTGGTTAATACCAGTCCTAGCACTAGGGATGCAAGATGATGCCTACCAAATGCATCCTATTCCATATAACCCTGGGCTATACTTCGAACAAATTGACCACATGAGATTCATTAACAGAAATTGGCGACTCCTCTTAACAGTAGACGTAAATAACACCCTAGGAGACACATACCCAGGACGAGCTTTTCTTAATCAACAATTCCCTTGATGCAAAAAACTTCAACCCGTTAATTTCTGCACCAACTCCTTATCAATGGAACTCTTCGAGGATCTGGATCAAGAATTAAGACCACTGCAGGAACACCTACAAAGAATCCTACAGAACACCAATGAAAAACGGCATAGCCGTTCTCCTTTATTAGGATTCATTGGAACTATCTCAAGGAAATTATTCGGTACAATGGATTACAATGACCTGGAGCGTATAAATAAAGAAATTGACCGACTCTATCAGGATCAACAGCAAATCACCCATCTTATCGGAAACTCCACTCATATTATCCATGCTGAAGTAAACTCAATAAAGAAAGAACATAATAAAAATTTGCACGAGATAATTCAAGCAAAAAACCCAATAAATGATCTAACTATGACAACGAATCAACACAACTCTTAGAAGTGGAATACAGGACTCAACTAGGGAATTTAGCTTTCCTCACCCGGGAAGGTGCTAGAAAATATATTGATGGAGCCAATAAAAGCGAGATGTAATGGACCTATACAAATTGATCCCATGTAAAACCCCGCAGAGAATTCAAGAAGATAAGACTATCGCGGCCTATGTGAAACCAAAAAGCCCCTATTACACTCAATCCAGGAAAACTCAGAAATATACCCTTTTAGACCACAAATTTATTGAATCATGTATACCATTGGAAAATTGTTTAGGATGCCCGGAGTCCCTAATTTTGAGAAAACCGACAGATAAACCGACATGCGAGAAAGCACTCTATACAACGTCCGAGCTGATAATAGATGCTAAAACCTATCAAAATTGTGATGTTAGGCTGATAAACGATCTGGAAACTCAGTGGACTAAACTGACCCACACTGAAGGCTGGCTTTACTCAACCATTCTACCAGAAAAATTAGAAATCATTTGCCTAGACAATCAACAGGATAGTTTAATCTTAAATGGGACAGGTATTCTATACCTAAACACAAGGTGCTCAGCAGAAACCGCAACAATCACCATTGAAGGCATGGGTCTCGTTGAAACGCAGCTACCGTTGATTCAGGGCGTACCTGCAACATTAAATATTTCAAAAATCGCCCCAATGCTATATAATGCGCCTAAAACCTTGCATACATTAACTAAAGTGGAACAACACCTCTTACCCATCGATGATGACAATACCTTCGACCGATCGATGCAAGACACCATTGAAGAAGCAAATAAAATTGGGTTACATCACCAGGAAGACTACTACCATCGCATCCTTACTACCACCAACTGTAGTATCACGGGAGTTCTATCCATCATCGGAATCCTTGGTGGCATAATAGCATATAAAAAAAGGTACAGCAATTCTGTCCATCATCTCATGCTGCTGTAACCGGATACCCAAAAGGCCAAAGAACACCTGGGCCTGACATAGACCTCGCCTCCATGTTGAAGAAGTATATGAACCACCAATTACCACCATCAGCTTGGCAGAGAGGAATACACTTCCAGCGTTACCACCACCACCAACAACAACAGAACGTCAGGGAAATCTGTTACCATCAGACCGACCAACAACAGTCCGCATTAGAATAAAAACAAAATATTGAAAAAAAAGGGGGGGGGGGTAGACTTCATAGATAACCATTAATCCCTAGATAATTATTAAGATTGGTATATAATAACATTATTATTAGTATTAAACAAACAGTTCACTCACCTCCTTTGGTTATAACGCTGCAATGAATTTAGGATGTCACTTGGTCGAAGGAATGAACGAGAATGAA